TGCAGCCTCCTCCTGGGTTCACCGGAAGATGGTATTTTCTAGCTGCCTCCGCAGTTAGTGGGGCCATGTGACCGAGTTCTAGCTAATGCCACGTGAGTGAAGGTGATGTACGACACTTCGAGGCACGGCCCCCAGAGACCTCTCACATGACCTTACATACTCTCTTTCCTAATCTGCCAACCAAACACAGAGGATCTACTGGAGGGTTTCATGGCCCCAGAACCCACAAAGAAGGAGCCTGCGCCACTCCTGAATTCAACTGTGCAGAGGCTGGAAGGGTAGCAGACTATGCCACCCCAAATATGCCACTCCTGCATGAGGATCATTTTAAATATATATTTAATTTATTTCAGGGAGGAAGGGAGAAGGAGCGAGAGAGGGAACATCAATGATGAGAGAGAATCATTGATTGGCTGCCTCCTGCACACCCCCCACTGGAGATCGAGCCCGCAACCCGGGCATGTGCCCTGGCCAGGAATTGAACTGTGGCCTCCTGCTTCATAGATCGACACTCAACCACTGAGCCATGCTGGCCAGGCTTGAGGATCATTTTGAGCTGACGGCAAGTAAGAAAAAACAGACTAGAACAAGCTTTCTGGCTTCCCCTCTCTTTACCTGAAAACTGAATATAAATTCCTTTTGTGAAGGTGTCCTCTTATCCCCAACTTCCTGTACCAGGAAGAGGATTACCACCTTACAGCAGAGATGAGCTGGCACTGAGAAAGTCCACACAAACAAATCTTACTAACTAGCCCTTTCCTACCATTCATTTCCCCATATATTTGCCTTCCCACAATTTGGCACCTCTAGAAGCTCAAAGTCCTTTTCTCTTGTCTGGTCAGTTCTCTACAAAATGATTGTACTTTACTAAGATGCTATATAAGCCCAAGTTCTAACCACCCCTTCAAATTTCTTATCCCTGAGTATATATATGAAGGATGCACCTGTGAATAAACTTCGGTTTGTTTTTCACCTTTTAACCTGTCTTTTCTCAGTCTATTTTGTAGGGTCTCACCCAATGAAACTAAGATGGATAGATGGGGAAAAATTTCCCTCTACAGGTGCCTCATATTTTCAATCCTCATGGAAGTATGATGTGGAAAATAAATCTCCATTGTATTAAGCCACTAAAGTTTAGAAGTTGTTTGTGAGAACAGCTAGCATTATTATACTATCTAATAGATCTTAGATACTCTTACCTATAGTGTCTGCCTCTACATGACATAAGGGTTAAGTAAGATGATATATGCAACAATAAACTGTAAAGTACTATATTGTTATTATTACTAGGGGCCCAGTGCATGAAATTCGTGCACTGGGTGGGGGGGGGGTGAGGGGGAGTGTCCCTCAGCCCAGCCTGCCCCCTCTCACATACTGGGAGCCCTCAGGCATTGACTCCCATCAATCTCCACTCACAGGATCGGCCCCTTGCCCAGGCCTGAGGGTCCCTGGGCAGGGGACCCTCATTTCCCCCCATCCATGGTTCTGCCCCCCACC